AGGCCAATATCCTAGTCAAACTCCAGTGAAAAACCTACTTTGGACAAGATGTTAGAACAAACAGGTTAGGTACTTTCAGGATAACACAAGGTATTAAATCACTCGGGAATCTGAGGATGCTCATGTGTAACTTATTTTCTAAAGGAACACGGGGTGTTGGGAGGGGGGAAATCCTTGCCTGTCAACTTCCTTCCTACACTTCTTTTTGAGGAATAAGCAGAATTACTGATCTCTGAATTTTAATACACAACATTTTGACAGCTGTAAAAATCCTTCAAAAATTGATGTTAATTGAAGTGGGCAATAGGTATCTTTGGGTATGTCTAGACTACATGCCTCTGTCGCCAGAGGCATGTAAATTACACTACCCAACATAGTCAATGAAGCCGATCCTGTAAACCTTGTTTCATGAGGCATAAGGGAGCAGTCGAAAAAGGCGTTCCTTGTTGACTGATCCACGTCTTAACGGCTGCACTGTGCCAACGATCAGCTGAGACAGCACAGTGCTGTGGCCATTTTTATTTTAATGAAGCTGGGGATATTTACATATCGGCTTCATTGACTATGTTGGGTAGTTTAATTTACATGCCTCTGTCGCCAGAGGCATGTACTCTAGACATACCCTCTGAGTTAAGCTGTTGCCTTCTTAGCCTCTGTCTATAGGCTTAGCTTGTTTCTGCTGTTAAATTTTTTTTTAAAATGAGTGTTTTCTTTAGGCAGAAACTGTTCTATGTTCTGATAGTGGATTAACTTTTAATCAATTAAATTCACACAAGGTTTTTCAAATTGATTTGTAATTCAGTTTTGTAATCTACCAGAAAACATTACTTGTCTGCTGAATGAAGGGTTAAAAGGGTGCGGCAGCTGGTCAATATCTCATGTAGCTTATCAGCTCCAAAGTTACTGGTTCAAAGCCCCATCAGGCCAGGAGTAAGTTCTTTAACATCTGAAGACTTAGGCTAAACAAAGTCTGGAACCTTCCATATTTTTACAATCTAGGAGGAAAGAAAAATGTTGGCATAGCTGGACCAGATTTTCATTTGCAATGTCTTCATGGCTGCTTGTTTTCAGTAGACTGATGCAAGCTTTTGAAAAAGATCATAGCAGTGCAATCATACACAAGGACAGGAGTACTTGTGCTAGGATTGCCAGTTTTGGTTGGATATATTCCTGGAGGTTTCATCATATGATAACTTTGATTAAAGATTAATCTTTTATTCCTGGAGCCTCCTGGATAATCCTGGAGGGTTGACAATGCTAAATGATCCCTTCCAATTTATATTCTGCCATGTGAGAGAAATTATACTCTGCTAAAACTTGCTCTAGCTCTTGCTGTTTCATGTATATTGGGGACACCTTCCAACCCATAACTCCCAGGACTCCCACTAAATACATTTGTAAACTAAACAAAAAAAATGTGCACACAGCATTTGAACCCCACAATGAACAGGATTAGTATCTGATGCTACAACAGTGCAATATTACAGTATTCTACATAGGAAAATGGTCTCTCACCAAATGTAGCCTGTCAGATGACCTACTTTTACTAAGTATACCTTGGTTAATATGAGAGCAGGAAGGAGCATTGATGCCACAGAACTTGAGGGAGTAATTACTACTTTCCCACTTGTTTCTGGTGAAGCTAATAATTAGTTAAGAAGTGGACATTGTAAAGGGAGAGAAACAAATTTCACGACTCATAATTAAAAAGCTGTTATTGACTATATTTAAATCAACTGGTATATTATAAATACATCTTAATAAACAGTAATCACTCAAATTTAAAGTAGTAATTTTTGGACAGCTTCTTTAAATATATTGATTTATTAAGAAAATGGAAACAACAATTTAGATCAGTTTTTATTTAGAAGTGGTATATATGAAAGCTAGAGTGCTACCCATGCTTGTGAAGCTATGGAATTTGCTGAAAAGGCTCTTCTTAAGAGACTGAAATATCCACTACCTAGTTAAGTTTGTGAGATCACCCTGCTGAAAATATACTGCCTAGTTATCACTGGCTCAAACAGGAATACCAGATTGACTCTATACCTACACCCTTTGGGCAAGCGCTCTAATACTTTTTCTTCTCAAATTGATTTTTTTCTCCTTTCTAGGTTAAAATATTTTGTGAAAAAAATGTAACTACAGGCACAATAAACACCCTGACATGAGAAAATCCAAGTTTATTATAGTACTACTTTGCTTATGTAGATTTACTCTAGTCATCTATGGTACCTGGTTTTTAAACTGTCTTTCATCTACTGGGTTTTTCCTGAGGTGATAAGCATTCAGCGGCACTTTGTTCTTCAATTATAGTTTTTGGGGAATTTCTGCTGAACATGATGCTTCATTTTAAAAGTGGGAATATAAAAATGAGACTATTTTACAGATTAATTGTGACAATGAAGTTTTGATCACGCAAGGTCCTCAGAGGTATTTTCTGGGATTCTTAAACCCGAAATCCTAGTATGAATATTTGTGTTCTGCTTATTGAAATCCCCTTGCAACTTAAATTGGTGCAATACTCTTTTCCCCTAAAACACTGTCGTTCTTCCTGTGTTTTCATTATAGAAATAAATACAGGGTCAAATGGTGATGTGTGGAGAGTGAAAAAGGCAGTTTGTAAAGCACATTGTGATCTTTCAGGATGAAAGCAACATGCATGTATTCCCTATGTCAAAAAAATCAAACTTTCAGGAGCCAAGTCCTCGGTGGAGCTGAACATATGCAAGTCAATGCGAGTTAGCAGCTGCAGAAACAGAACCAATGGAGGCAAAGGGAATGGTTTCCCTTTATCCATCCCAGGCCTTTTATTCATTGTACATTTTCAAACACATTTCTCAGTTACTCTGTCTACCTTCTCCCCTCCTCCAACTTCTCTTTATTACAAAATCTGTCTCTGCTACTGTGCAACTGCTCAGCATCAATCAGGATTTAGCTTGTCATGTGTCTGCTCTTTGTGGCACTAAACAAGGAGAAAGCACAATATTGAAGTGCTTTGGATAGACAGGTTCTCAGTGCTCAAATATGTACGTATGACACTTTAATATGCATTGTGCAAAGATCAGTCTACTACAAAGCAGCTGATACCTTGAAATACTGAGTTACTCAGAGGGAAATTTCCATTTTTAATATACTAGTCTTTGCATTCAGGTCTTTGCATGTTAGCACTGCTCTTTAGAGAAACCTAGTTACTGTTTCCACGAATAAGATAACAAAATGGTGTTTATCCTGTGTGGATCAATATAGTGTCTTGTTTGAACATATTGAGTCATTCAAAGACACATCTAATGAAGGCCATTTTGCTGTAGCACTTGCAGCACTGCCACTTCTTGTGAAGAATAGCATTCTTTGAAAACAGCTACTGAATACACTTTTATCTTTTAATGAAAAGAATGCATATTGACTGGAGAAACCATTCAGTTCTAAATGGAAAGGTAAGGACAACTTTCCACCCTTTTAAGGCCTCAACTAAGATTCTTCAGTAACAAATTATTCTTTCTTAAACTGTGGTTTTTTTTTTTTTTAATCCAGAGAGAACAAATCCAGGCACTGTGATCTCTGTCCTGAAAACGCTTAGGGTAATAAGCATTTTGCTTGGATTTGTTTGCACAGTTGGATCTTGTCTTCAGGTGGCTGTAATGAAAATGATTATTGCTTCAGTGCCACTAAGCATAGCAAAATGAACCCTGAGAGTTAACCTACATTTAGGCTATTCAAAAATGCCACAGATTTGGTGGGTAGCCACAGATTTTTTTTTTACAAGATGAATAGTAATATAAACTAAAAGCTTGTGCATGTTCCATTTAAGTCTCTTATTTACTCTTTTAGGATAGCTTATGTATATGGTTTAAAAATCTTATGTTACAATTAAAATTTGTCACATTCAAAAGCCCCACACAATTGATAATGAACAATGAGCACAACACTACTATAGAAATCATAAACATGCCAAAAAACTCCCTCTAATGGTAAAGTCTGATACTGTATCCACTTCCCCTTTTGACATATCAAAACCCCTGTGATTTGTTAAATAAAGAACTCAACATCATACCCGCATGTGTAATCTTTGAAGCCTTATGTGTGTTTGTGTATATCTTGGGGTGGTGGGGTTGTGCAGAAGTATTTGAGATGCTAAATATAGTAAACATTTTCCTGGTTTGATGACATTTTACATATGAATTCAGGTATTTTGGACCAGTGATTGCCTACAAAACAGAGGTAACATTTGAAAAAGGGATGATGAAATCTTGTAAATATAGAGCTTGGGAGATATACTCAGGTTGTCGGTGAGAAGATTTAATGGTGTTAATGATTAGCATGGAAAATTGTGATTTTTTTTTTAACATCTCAAAAGTGAATTGTCTTGTGTAAAATCCTCCTTTCTCTCTTTGCTAATCTAACTTAATAGATGAAAGTGAGAAATACTTTGAAGTGCTTTGGATAGAAAAGGGATCAACTAAAGAGAGCTTCTGTTTTTTCACTATCTGTACAGAAATGATGGCAACGTGTGCTGGTAAAGCTTTCCGTGGTAATGCCCCACCTTGCTTTCTGGAGATTGAAAAAGTTTCAAGGGGTCAGCTGAAGTGCTGGGGCATAAAGACTGTAAGTTGATGTGAAATCTAATCAGAAGTGCAGTCTCTAACTGATGTGACTGCTATGTCTGCTTCAGCCCTTCTCTGTCTGACAACGAACAACCTACCTGATGGTCAGTGGTGCTAAGCTTTCCAGAGAGCTCACATCTTCATAGGTTCTGAAGCAGAGAAATGAACTTAAGAAATGAGCAGCATATGTGAAAATTGTGCATTTTTCCTCTAATCTGCATTATAATTTTCCAGGTGCTCCTTTTGTAGAGAGCGAGCAAGCAAGCTGTAACCAAACACTCCGCCTTGCAAATTCTAGTAAAGCAGAAAGTGGTGAAAGCTGCTTTTCAGCTAGATCACAATATTTCCTCTCTTTAAAGACTTAATATGGGGAAAAAAACCAAACATGGACTGTACCTGAGCAATTTCAGAGATCACCACCCGGAAAAGTTCTTCTTGATTATGGGGAATTTGCGACGTGTCACTCTGGTTATTCTCTAATCATCATCAGCCACAGGTTGGTTTCCAGTCCCTGCAGGTTAAACTTTAACTCACCCTATCTCTCAGTTCCATGCAGCCCTTTGACCAGATAATTGGGTCACTGCAGCTCAACAGTACCTACATAAACTACATTTGTTTTCAAAATTCAAAAGACTTCAGAATCTTGCCTGCACTCCTCCTTTATATACTCACATATCATTTTGAAATTGATTACTATTTAAATTTTTTGCAACTGATTTTCTCTTTAACTCATCCTCACTTTAAAAATCAGATTTCTTTCCTTTGTTTTCAAGTTACAAAGTAGGCCTTGAAGGAACATAGGGGACTTCTTCTATCCAATCTGCATGGTACCCACCCTGTCTTACATACTACTTGGTTACGTCTACACTGGCCACAATTTCCGGAAAAGCCATGCAAATCAGGTAAGTGAGGATAGGGAAATCCGCGGGGGATTTAAATATCCCCCGCGGATTTAAATAAACATGTCCGCCGCTTTTTTTCCGGCTTGGGGGAAAAGCCGGAAAAAAAGTGTCTAGACTGGCGCGATCCTCTGGAATAAAGCCCTTTTCGCACAAAAAAAGCAGCCATGTTTTGCTGACTCAGCACTTTGTCAGCAAAAAGCGGCTGCCTAGAGGGGGAGCTGTAAAGAAAGAAAGCCTTTTTCGACAGATCCTTTGAAGTAGGAATAAGAGATCCTCCGGAAAAGGGCTTTATTCCGGAGGATCGCGCCAGTCTAGATGCTTTTTTTCCGGCTTTTCCCCAAGCCGGAAAAAAAGCGGCGGACATGTTTATTTAAATCCGCGGGGGATATTTAAATCCCCCGCGGATTTCCCTATCCTCACTTACCTGATTTGCATGGCTTTTCCGGAAATTGTGGCCAGTGTAGACGTAGCCCTTTTGTTCAAGTATTTAGCCCATATGTACAATTTTGAACTCCAATATATATCTGAATAAGAATGTTGTCCATATTCAATAGCACAAGTTTCAAGGCCATAAACTGAACAGGGTCTTACAACTTAGAAAATTGTTGAGCTTCAAATAATTTTTTGTTCTCCAAATAAACAAAATAATAGCTACATTGAAAATAGGACAAAGATGCATTGCCTGTTGAAAAGAAATCTCGAGATTAGCTATCTTTCATAAAATAACATTTATAAACAAATTTTAAAGATCCCATAATGTACACTCTAACAGTTCAGTATCAGAGGGGTAGCCATGTTAGTCTGAATCTGCAAAAGTGGTGAGGAGTCCTGTGGCACCTTATAGACTAACTGAAGCGTTGGAGCATATGCTCCAACACTTCGGTTAGTCTAAGGTGCCACAGGACTCCTTGCCGCTCTAACAGTTCAGTTTGCATACAAAAATTTCATTGGCAGATGCTAAAAGAATAATTTCTGTCTAACACTATTCCTCTAAGACAGTGGTTCTCAAAGCACAATCTGTGGACCATTGGTGGTCTGTGGTACCCTTGCAGGGGGCTTGTGGCTTGAGCTCAGGACTCCCTGCCGCCCCCTCCCCCCCGAGAGAAAGCAAGAGCATGAGAGCACTCCAGCCTCCCACAAGATTGGCACACTGTCACTCTGGTTTCCCCTTGCAGGGCAGAGAATGTCTTGAGCCTCACTGCTCGATTTGGCTCAGGGGGGAGAGCAAGTGGTTCCGCACACTGCTGCTTCTCTCTCTCCCTGTGGGCACCGCTTACCACAGGTGGCTTCTGGATAGTGGTGCAGGGGACTAAGGCAGGCTTATCCCTACCCTGGCCCTGCACCACTCTCTAAAGCAGCCAGAAATTTTCTCCATCCCTGACCCCCAACCTTGTGGCGCTGGGGTACAGGATGGGGGAGGGGTACACCCCCCCTTCTTCTTTCTGTGCCCTGCACAGCAAGCAAGAGACTCCCGGGGGTGAGGGACAGCTCCAAGGCAGAGGGAAGGAGCAACATGGCAGTGCTGAGAGGGGCATATGAAGAACCAGGACTTGACAGTCTCCCTGCCAAACCAGTCGGGATCACCTGTCAGAAGCGCCAAGATCTACCAGTAGATCCTGATCTGTTTGGTGACCAGTGCCCTGCCTCATTCCCATTAACCCCACATGGGTGCTTTAACTGTTGTGATGGGCTCTGGCTGCTGGGCCATGCTGCCCTGTGTGAAGGGGTGTTATGAATTTTGTAACTGTGGCCATGAGGCTTCATTACCCAGAGAGAAGGAAGTGTTGCTATTGACCCTAGCCGCTAGGCATCACTGCCTGTAGAAAAGGGATGTAGTTATTGTTGGGGAGGGGGGCATTGAAACTGGTAGACACTTGGGATTGATCACCCTTTGGGGGCCCTTAGAGGCCTGATGACACACCCCTGAGGAGAGTCGGGCGTGTTCGCCTATGATAACCAGCAAGGAAAAAAATTACCCCCTATAAGCAACAGCATATTTTGGAGATCTGCATCATGGAAGGTAAGTTAGTAATGCAGAGACTGGATATATTCTTTATGCAACTTATCTCATTCACAAGGTGCTAGACCAGAGGTGGCTGTAAACAGCATGCAGAAAACTCCTCCTTCCAGGGGGTCTCAGTTCAAATCCAAACACCTGGTTACAAAGGAGCAACTCAACCCTAAAAGTTATTTTTTGACTACAGCGTGCAGCATGGCATCCCTAAAAGTTACTTCTATTTTTATCTCTTGAAATATTAGGTAAGAGTTTACATAGGGATATTTTGACTCCAGGCTGTTTGTTTTGGAGCACAGCAAATGGAATTCAGTTATAAAGCTAAATGGTTTTCTAAGTAATTCTGGATTTAAATGAAGGCTGCTGTCTTGATAGGGAACAGTGACATTAGCATAGCAGTGGCAGGAAAATAAAACAGAATTCTGTCAAAGAGCCTTCAGCTCCATTCGTCTTCATGTATCTCCATGACTAAACTTCACCACCCCTCTCGGGGGTTAGTTGCCATCTTCCACGATGCCCCCGTCCTGCTTAGACAAGCTTCTACGAGCTCCTATGAGCTTAGACGCTCCAGTGTCGGCTGCTCCTTCTGGGGTTGAGAGACTGCCGCCCCGGCTCTGGCAGTGGGTGTTCTTGTTGGGGGTCGGTCTCCCTGTCTCCACCATCTGGGAGCCTAGCCACCTGCCTCTGAGGCCATCTGTCTCTGCGGACTGGCCGCATGTGGTGGCCCGGGCGTCTCCGGCGGCCCTCTCCCCCGCTGCCTCAGCGGCTTCCTCTCTGGCCCTGGCGCGTCTGGCGGCTTCCCCCCTGATCAGCTGAGCCGGCGCCGCCTTTGAAAGCGGCATGTGGCTCAGGGCGCATGTGCAACAGTGCCGGGAGGGCGGAGGCGTGCCCTCCGGACTCCGGGCTGGGAGCCTCTCATGCTTCCGGCCCTGGGACGAGGGACGGGCCTGGACCGTCACACTCTGGACCCTATCCCCGCCCTCTAGTATATCTACCTCTCCCCCTAGCCTAGTGTCATCTGAAAACTTGCTGAGGGTGCAATCCATCCCCTCATCCAAGTTATTAATAAAAATGTTGAACAAAACCGGTCCTAGAACCGATCCTTGGGGCACTCCTTTAGAAACTTGCCACCAATCTGACATTGAGCCATTGGGCCTGACATTCTAGCCAGCTTTCTATCCATCATACAGTCCATTTATGTGGAAGACCGTATCAAAAGCTTTGCTAAAGTCAAGGTGTACCATATCCACTGACTTTCCCATATCCACAGAGTCTGTTATCTCATTATAGAAGCTAATCAGATTGGTCAGGCACGACTTGCTCTTTGTGAATCCATGTTGACTATTCCTGATCACTTTCTTCTCTTCTAAGTGCTTCAAAATGGATTCCTGGAGGATCCCCTCCATGATTTTTCCAGGGACTGAGATAAGGCTAACTGGTCTATAGTTCACTGGATTGTCCTCCTTCCCTTTTTTAAAGATGGGCACTACATTTGCCTTTTTCCAATCACCTGGGATCTCTCCCGATCTCCACGAGTTTTCGAAGATAATGGCCAAAGACTCAGCAATGACATTTGCCAACTCCCTCAGTACCCTTGGATGCATGATTTGGACTCATGGATTTGTGTATGTTTAGGTTTTCTAAATAATTCCTAACTTGTTCTTTCCCCACCAAGGGCTGTCCAGCTCCTTCCCATACTGCATTACCTAGTGCATTGGTCTGGGAGCTGACCTTGTCTGTGAAGACAGAGGCAAAGAAAGCATTGAGTACTTCAGCTTTTCCCACACTATCTGTTACTAGGTTACCGCCCTCATCCAGTAAGGGCCCCACGCCCTCCCTGAACATCCTCTTATTGCTAACATGCCTGTAAAAACCTTTCGTGTTATCCTTCACATCCCTTGCTAGCTGCAATTCCAATTGCACTTTTGCCTTCCTGATAACTCCCCTGCATTCTTGAGCAATATATTTATACTCCTCCCTTGTCATCAGTCCAAGTTTCCACTTCTTGTAAGCTTCCTTTTTGAGTTTAAGCTCACCAAGGATTTCCCCAGTCAGCCAATCTGGTCGCTTACCATATTTGCTTTTCTTACTGCTCATCGGGATGGCTTCTTCCTGTGCCTTCAATACTGCTTCTTCAAACTGCTAGCTCTCCTGGACTCCTTTACCCTTCATGTAAGCATCCCAGGGAATCCTGCCCATCAGTTCTCTGAGGGAGTCAGTATCTGCTTTTCTGAAGTCCAGGTTGTGTGTTTTGCTACTCTCCTTTCTTCCTTCGGTCAGGATCCTGAACTCTACCATCTTCTTCCCAGATTGTCACCCACCTCTACTTCCTCTACAAGTTCCTCCCTGTTTGTGAACAGCAGGTCTTTTAGGTACGGTACTTAAAAGTATTATCGTGCCTCCCACTCTGCCTTCACTTCTCCAGAGTAAACTAACACAATTTTTCTGTCTTGCCTTACAGTAATTTTTTTTGTGTGTAGACAGTTCGTCAGCTGGGGAGTTGATGAATCAGCACAGAGTAGGATGTAAGAATTACTACGTGTGTCTTACTTACAAC